CTTGGTTGGAGGATTGCAGTCCCCTGGCGCAGGGCTTTCAAGGCAAGCTGTGAAGGGCATCTGTCAGCCAGCCCCATGCAGGGACCCCAGGAGCAGGCCTGAGGCCTCTCTTCCCAGAACCATGATGGCTACCATCCTGGGCATGCATTGAACACTCACTTTCTCTATTCCACGTAATTCTCATCCCCACCACACATGAAGGAGCTACCCCTGGTCTCCCTGTTTCATGGGGAGGAAACAGGCACAGAGAGGTCATGCCATTGGGAATTGGCTGAGCTGAAATTTGAACCCAGGCAGCTTGACTGTAAGATCTGAGTCTAACACCGTTAACACCAACCTTGCACTGCTGTAGGCCAGGCCCTTCCAACTCTCAGTGACTCCCGCTGCCACCGAGGACAAGAAATGGATTTTACATGGCGACACACACAACACACATGCATCTCAAACACACCTGCATGTGCAACTGAAGCAAAAGTTTATGAATCAAAAATACGCTTACTATATAAATGCACCAGACTTTAAAATTCTCTGTGATTTTTACAGCTGGCCACCGCCCACAGTGGTGAGACCACATGGTCTGGTGGCCAGGCCTTGCCAGTGTTGGGTGCTGACCTTCCATCTGAGTCACAGGGTAGCAGTACTTTGCGCTCTCTAGTGATGTAACTAACCAAGTGTCCCATTCTGTTAGGGCATGTTGGCCCCTTCCACTAGGGCCAGCTTATGAGGGTAGCAAGCGATTCTGATTCTATGAAATCACTGATACAGGTGGTTCTTAAGGACCTGGTGGGATGAGGGGAAGATGGAGCAAGACAAGCAAGGAAAGCCCAACTGAACGTGAAGCTGTGACTGAGAAAGGAGGAGGAGAGGGAGAAAGAGAAAAGGGAATATCACTCCATGGGCCATCCATGCAGTATTGCCATGGATGGAAGGAGTGTGACAAGGGTCACTGTCCTCCCAAGAGATGAGAAAGTCCAGATCCAGGGAAAACAGTGGCTGCCAGGCCCCGGGAGCTTCACTACCCGTGGCTCAGATAGGAAGCCAGGGAGCAGCAGATGTGTCCTGGGTAGGCCCAGCATCCACATGGCCCTTTATCTGCACCAAACAGAAAGGGGCTCTGCAAGGCAGGGTGTCAGAGTGTCTGGGGTAGGGAGCGCTTCTTTGTCTGGGTGCAGCACTTGCAGACTGTCCACATAGGTGAGGGGAGACTGCTTCTCCCCTTACTCTGTGTGCTTGACCTTCCTGAGCCTCCATTTGCTGCCCTGTAAAATGGGGATAAATATAGTCCCTCCAAAGGGTTGTTATGAGGATTTCAAATAGGTACTGTGGGTAAAGCCCTTGACAAAGGGCCTGGTATAGAGTGGGATGAACACACTTTCCTCGCTCCAAAGCTTCGGGAGGCCCCGTTATTGAGCTAAGATGAAAAAGCTGTTGGTTTGGTCAAGCGTGGGCCAACTTAATGATTAAACCCAATGTGTAGTTTGAATTTAGTCTGTTCTCCAACCAGAGCTGCGGGTGAGCCCCAGAGGCGAGAGGGAAGGGATTGGAATGTGCCATTAGGAGAAGGGGCTGAGTCCCTCCCTCCACCTCTGCTTACCCTCATCCTGGAATGCTGCCCTTCTCTATCCCCACCTGCTTACACTTTTTTTCCTTCTTCAAAAAACCCAGATTAAGGCTAAGGAAGTCGAGAGAGAAGGAATACATGGCATTAGGAGTCAGGCAGGTCTCAGTCTTCTATGTCCAGCTTTGCCACTGCCTAACTGTAGGCAAAGGGTCTTAATCTCTTTAAAATGGAGGAAAGTGGCACCTTACTTTGCAAGGGTGCATTGCAGCTGGAAAGAGAACATAGAGCACACAGTAGGAGCTTAGTAGATGTGAAGGCCTGTGCAGCACAGTTCTGTTTAAAGGGCATTTCTCTGAATATGCTGATGCACTCTGCAAGAGCTGCTGCAAGGCTTCCACAATCCATCATAAAGAACCTTCCCTTTCTTTGGCATTTCCTTATTGTGCAGTGTAGCCTGCCACGTGCATGGTGGGGAATCCAATAAATATTATCTAAATCAGGGGCTGGGAGAACACAGCATGTCGGAATAAGAATGCAGGACTTTGGAGAGAAATTAACCTAGATGGCAATCCCAGGTCTACCAGCTGGGTGAACTGTGTGGGATGGGACAAGCCACTCTACCTCTCTGAGTCTTGGTTTCTCCACTGTAATTTGGGGATGAGAGTGCCTACATCACAGGGATGTTCTTCCATGCATTCAACATGTACTCACTGTACTTATTTACTATCTACTAGCCACTGCTCCAGGTGCTGAACGGATAGCTGTGAACAAAACAGACAAAATCTCCCTGGGGGAGACAGAAAAGAAACTGCTGACTACACATACAGCGTGTCACATGGTGATACATGCTGAAGAGAAACTTAAAGCAGGGTGGAAGGAGTGAGCCGGGGCTGGGGCAACAGCAGGCCCCTCATTCAAGCAGAGACCCCAAGGAAGCCTGGTGGGAGCTACCGGGAGCTGGGGAGGAGAATGTGCTGGGGAGAGGGATCAGGAAGTGCAGAAGCCTTGAGGAGAAGCATGCTTGGCGTGTAAATGAAGCCACATATGCAGGAAGCCTGGCATGGAATCCAGGTGCTCAGCAAATGCCAGCTCTCTATTTCAAGTCCCGCAGAAAGAACCCCACGCATGTGTCCTTTTCCTGAGAACGAAAGCACAAAGATTCTACAGGGCAAGACTGTGCCAAGTGTTCCTTCAGCCTAAGATTCAGGCAACATTTGAGCTCCACCACCAGTGTTTGAACCCTTGCCAGGTACCAGTGTCTGGGATGGGCAATCAGGGATACAAGATGATCAAGACAAGGGCTCTGTCCTCAGGGAACCCCAAAGAGTCACAGAGACAGGCAATGACAGTGCAGGCATTTCAACGATGAACAGGCAGGGACGTAAGGTATCCAGGTAGCAGAGCAAAGGATGGGATTGTGGGTGGTCAGGGAAGGCTTCCTGGAGGAAGTGACGACACTGAATTTGGAAAGACAGACTAGACAAGAAAGGACAGTCCAGGCGTGGGGACCATCACATGCCAAGCACAGAGGTATAAAAAATAGCACAGGGTGTGCAAGAAACTCTACTGGTAGGTTGGAAAACAATAAACGGTCCTTCATATTCTTGGCACCTGCCATCCGATGTGACTCAGGAATTTCAGTTCTGACCCCTTCCTCAAACTCAATGCAAGCTTCAAGCACCAGAGGAGAGTCTGAATTCCCCATACTTAAACACCGCAGTGGGTAACCAACCTTAACTGCAGGCTCCCAGACTAGGGTGGCCCAGCCCACAGAGAGAGGGTTGAGAGGGATGGAGAATACATAAATCTCCAGCTATATTTAGCCTGCCTGGTGTGTCTGTCCCTTTATGCACCCCAAGGCTGACCCACAGGTGGCAGAATAGCTTTTTACTAGAATAGTATAAACATTTTTTTTTTTTAATTAAGAAACTGAGCAAAGGGGCCTGAGCTGAGGTGCCTCATCCCAGAGTCTTTGTGGCAAGAATATCTGCTGCCCTATTTGCCAACATCCCCAAATATCTCCTGACCCAAGGGTGGGTTCTCCCCAAACCTAGTAATAGCCCTGTCCATAGGAGGCAGAGGCCACCCTCTAGTAAGCAGACCTGCGTTCTAATCCCACCTCTGCCACTGACTAGCGGGTGACTCTACTGGTGACTTCACCTTTCTGAGAATTTGAACGCTTGAGTGCAGCTGCTCAGAGGCTTGTAAAGGTAGGAGTTGGCTCCTCTTCCATAAGCTGACCCTGGGAATCCTGGGCTCAGCACTGTCCATTTCAACCCACTCCAGGGGAAGTTGTTCTTTAACTGCATGTCATGCCTAGAAGGGAGAGCTATATGGGAGTGTTATAGCAGAGATGGGGTGAGATGTCTCTGCTAGAACCTCACACTAAATTAACCTCACAGCTGACTTGCTTTCCCACTGAGCCGAGTCTTTAGCTTTAAACACACACACACACACACACACACACACACCTCTCACCTTTTGCTCAAGGGATGCTACAAAGGCCCAGCCTTAAGACAAAAATACTTCCAAAGACCTGGGCGAATGAGGGGAGGGAAGGCAGACAGACACAGGTCCCACTCCAGATTCTCCCACAACTGGCTGTGTGACCTTGGGTGAGTCATTTCACCTCTTCTGACACTCAATTTCTTTATTTGTAAAACTGGGATACACATCTTTATCGCGAAGCTTCTTTGCACACCGAGCTGGGGTATGCAAAGTGTTGGGCGCTGAGCCTCCACGGGCGCGCGCGGGCGCAGGACAGCTAATCTGTTCCCACAATTACCAGGTATTTTCCATAAGGCCTTCTCCTATCCCGTTACCCCGCTCCGGATCGCCTACTCCGGTCCCAGAAATTCTGGGGTGATTTTAACGCAATCTACAGCAGCGACTCCGAGGGGGCGAAAGAGTCCCCAGTGGGGCGGACACCAGAGGGGGGCGCACCCGGGGTGCGCGTGGGAACGTGGCCAAAGCATTCGCCGCGGGGGAAACTGGGGTGCCCCTGCGAGCACCCCTCACTCTCGGCATCTGCAGTCTCGGCACCACGGGTGGCTTCTGGCCGTCGGAAGCCCGGGCGAGCCCGGCTCCTGTCACCCCCACCCAGGTCGCCTTGAGCTCGCTCATCAGCGCCCTCGGGCTGGAACAAAGGCGAGGGGGCGCGCGGCATCGCCCAATCGGCCCTTTTTGCACAACTGGCCAAAGCCGGGAGAATGAGGACTGGGGTCCCCAGGGTAACCAGGACGCGGTACCCGCCCTCCCGGATCGCAGAGCCCAGCCGCTGGGCGCGCGCCGAGCTGGGGTCTGGGAGGTAGCGGAGACTCCAGCCCGCTGCACGCCGAGGGCTTCTAGGGGCGTGGGGTGGCTCTCCAGGAGTCACCCAGCGGGTTCCCGGAGAAGAGAAACCCGGCGCCCGCCTCCCGGGCAGGTCTCCCCGGCTTACCTGGCAGGGTCCGGTGCACCGTGTTGCCCATCGCTGCGTCTGGCGCGGCGTTAGCGGCGGCGCGCTCTGGGAGCGCGGAGGCTAATTATGCGGCGGGTCAGGGACCGGGACCGGGGTCGACGCTCCGGGGCATCGCTGCTGTACGGGCGAGCCGGCGGACAGCAGCTAGGGCGGGAGCCGGGAGGGAGGCGGCGGCGGCGCCTGCGGGAGGAGGAGGAGGAGGAGCCACCGGCCCGGGCCCGCCGGCTCCGCCCCCGCCTCCCACCGCCTCCAACAGTGCAGGGGCGGGGCCGCGGCCGCCGCATCTTTTGAAAGTTTGCACCAGGCGGCGGGAGAAGCACAGCCAAGACTCCCGCCCTCGCCGCTCCCGCGCCCGGGCCGGGAAGGCGCACAGGGCAGCTGGGTGCCCTCGGGTGCCGGGATCGGCAGTCTGCTGGCCTGTCACCCATTTGTTCCAACACTCTGAGAAGGCCTACTGTGTGCTAGGCCCTCTTCCAGGCGTGGGGCCCCTGCCGGCCAAGTCCTAGCCCCGGCAGATCTCTTTGGAGAGTGCTTCGGCCTCGGGGGGCCTTACACGCAGGCGGAAGGGCTCCTGTGACCGTGTAAAGGGCTCGGAAACAGTACACCAGGGTTTCTGGGTTTGGGTGGAGTCTTTTCTACCCCCTAGGCCACGTGCTGAGGAATAGAAGACACCTAGCGTCCAAAGATGGGGAAGAGGAAACCATATTCATTAATTTATTCGCTTGTTCATTAAAATATTTACTGAGCACATCCAGGCACTGTGCTGGGGTGGGCAGATACAGACAAGGTCCCCACTACCCTGGAGATGGCATGCTGAAGCTAGAAATAACAAGCAATTAAGATCACATTATATAGTAATCAAAGCCAGCAAGAAAATAAAACAGATCCCAGCAGAGTGATGGGATGACATTGTTTGGAGGCTGAGGGAGAATCTGGGGTGGGGGCATGTAGCTCCATCTGATGGACTAGAAGGCATCGGACATGGAAGAGATGAGGAGTGGTAGCAGGCATTCCTCATTCAGGCGCCTGGACCACACTCAGTGAGACGTGCAGTCGTGGTGCCCTTCTCCGCCTCCATTTCACAGACTGGAACACTGAGGCCCAAGAAGTGCAATTACTTGCCCAAGAAGACCCAATTCCAAATGAGTTGTTTTTTTCAGTTTTATTTTCCATGCTCTTGTATCCCTTGAACACCTTATGAAATATGTATTATTACTTCCATTTCATGGATAGGGAAATTGAGGCTCTGAGAATGGAAGAGAGGTGCCCAAGATCTTCCAATAGTGCAGGGCAAAGCTAGCCTGAAGCTATGTGAATCAAAGTGGGGTATTCAGGAGACAGCCTCCTGGATCTCCGCTGCCTTTTCTTATAGTACATGACCCATCCCAGAAGGTTCTCAGGCCTTTAAGGCTCCCACTTCCCGGAAACCTTGATTCCCCACCCCGCCCTGATGTCATATGTCTGAACATAAGGTTGCCTTGTATTTGATTTACTAGTTTCTCATATTACAGGTGCTCTCTCAGTGACTTAATTTTAACCCCAAAGTTCTATTTGAGAAAGGTCTGTTAGTGTGATCCTCTTTTTTTTTTTTTTTGTCAGAGATAGAGTCTCACTCTGTCACCCGGGCTGGAGTGCAATGCTGCAATCTTGGTTGACTGCAACCACCGCCTCCTGAGTTCAAGCCATTCTCCTGCCTCAGCCTGCTGAGTAGTTGGGATTACAGGCGCCTGCCACCATGCCCAGCTAATTTTTGTACTTTTAGTAGAGATGGGGTTTCACCATGTTGGCCAGGCTGGTCTCAAACTCCTAACCTCAAGTGATCCACCCACCTCAGCCTCCCAGAGTGCTGGGATTACAGGTGTGAGCCATCACGCCTGGCTAATCCTCCTTCTGTGTGAGATTGGGTTGCATATGAGGGTCAGCAATATCATAAAGGGAATGGAGGGAATTTTCCTCAGATAAGGCAATGCAAACAAACATGACTTTATGATGGCAAGGGTTGTTGTGAATAGGCCTTTTGAAGGCCACTTTCAGAGTACCTCAGTAAGTACCATCGGCCATGTTGTGCTGATCACAAATGCTCACCTGCAGCAGGTGGATCCCCACTGTCAAAATGTGCTGCTGATCGGACCTGTGCTGGAGACACAGTACCCAGCAGTTGCCTGACACATGGATTCAAGAGGGCCATGTGTTAGCATCTGAAGCTCTGAGAGTAGCATGTGCTCTAGTAAAAAGCTGCCCCCCAACACGATGGTGACACTAGTGTCAAGGCCACATGGAAAAGAATTAGAATCAAATCATTTCCTGAAATTTGAAACTGACAAAAGCAACCTTCCAAAATTAGTATTTTATATGAAAAAAAGTAAATATGTATGTCTAAGTAAAGTAATAAATGAAATATTACAAGTAGATGTCTATTTCATCTTCACCCCATAATTTACATTATTCAACAATAAAGTGCCCTTAACCTTTATTTGGATCGCCTCATATTTGGGCACGTACAGTAGTTGCTCACCCCTTTGAGGTCCCTCTGCACTTTATTCTGTCCCTCAGTTACACCCTCAAGACAGGTGCTATAGCTGCTACCTTTCTGACCTCTCCACTGCCAGACAGGAGGCTCCTGTAGGCAGGAAGCAGGCTGTAGTCATCTATGAAACCCCAGTGCCCAGAACAGGGCTGGCAGGTACAGGTGCTCAGTACACATCTGCATAAATTGACTGCAGAGATGCATTGCCCTGAGCTGAGAGAAAAACAGGAAAGAAGGAGAGAGGGAAGAAAGAAGGAATGGAGAAAGAGAAAAGAGAGGGAGAGAAGAAGGAAGAGGAGAGAAACAGTTGTGAGAGAATGAGTTTTAGCCATTAGTAGCCCTAGACCCTCAAGTGATGAATATGTGCAGGGAAAATAAGCAAATGAGCAAAATAGGGATGCATTAATAGAAATATAGTCTTTAGGACAAAGGAGGGGCTTGCTGCTCTAGTGCATGGTGGTTAGACTATTCCAGAAGTCGCTTTGGCTCTTCTTGAGCACCACACTTGAGAAGGAAGACAAAGCTAGTCCACGAAGGTGGAAGAGGTGGCTTTGGGAGACAGAGAGATTCCTGTCCCAGGAGGTGTGCAAATAGAAACCATGTATTCCCTGTCAGGCAGTTGAGGAGGGGCTTCCCGAGTCCTGTCTTCTAAAGTATACCTTCCGGTGCAATGATCCATTGAGTCCTACAGCCCACATGAGGCCATGGGAGGGATTTATGGTTTGAGGTTTAAGAGCTTGATTGGTCCTGCCTCTACTGAGCCTGCAAAGGCGCTTCCCTGTCTTTGCAGCTTGTGTACCAAGCTGATCTCCTGGGATGTGGTCCTCCCATTTTTGTTGCCTCTTTCCTCATGCCTTCCCACTAGCTTCCAAGCAGGGACAACCAGGACAGTGTGAAACTGCTATCTGCATGTGTTAGGGGCCTGGGACCCAGGAACCATATCTAACAGCAACAAGGGAAGGGAAGAGACTGTTGGACTCTGAGCACCTGCTGCACGAGAGCCTTTATTACCACAGGGGTGGAATCTGAATCTCTCCCTTCTCCAAATATTGCAGTCATACCACATCAAAGAAGATAAGTTCTAGCATCCCCATGTTCCAAACGAGGACACCAAGCCTCAGAGAGGTAAAGTTACATGCCTAAGACTCTGCAGCTGTAAGAGGAATTGAAATGTGAGCCTAGGTGTGTCCATAACCAAGCCTCATCATCTAAGCAGTGTGCCCTAACGTTAGAGAGGACAGCTCTGCCCAGGTGCCAGGGCAGCAGGACACTGGGGTTGGAGAGGAATGGGTGGGATCTCAGAACCAGAACCCGCAGACACTAACGGCTTTCACAGAGCCTGTGGGACAGAGCATGGGTGGGGACATCCTCAGGCCCAGGCAGCAGCCTCCAGTCACAGCAGCTCCTGGATTTGACTTTCACACACATACACATCTCCACCAATCACATCCAGAATTGCACTGACTGTGCCACCCTCCTTTGGCATCAGTACCCACACATGGGTTGTAGGGGCCTCTGGGTGGGGCTGTCTCTCTTGATTATGCAGCATCAGCAGAGCCTCCCAGGGCAGTGGATATTGGGAGTGCCTTGGCCGGGCTCCCTGGCATTGCTCCTTGGGGGCATGTCTTGGCAGGCCCTGCCCCATGCAATAGCAGGCAGTCAGGTGCATGCTGTAAAAAGGGTGCACACTGAGCTTCGGGGCCGGGCTGGGCCCTATGCCTACTGTGGACACCTGTGCCAAACGACCCCTTCCTGGTGTTTACCCAGCCTCCTCCTCACAACTCAAGAGCTGAGTGTCTGGAGTCACACTGCAAAGCTCCCTTCTAAAATGGCTGCAGGAAGGCTCTGACGATGAAATCTTTGATTTCCAAATTCAGGTCTTTACCTAGAAAAGTATCATTTTTCAGTTGCTGGTTACAAAGTGCCAACCGCATAGCAGGCCTCATGCTGCACCCTCTGAGTGATCCTTGTCACAGCCTGGTGGCATGGTCACGAACACAAGTCAATTCCCATTTTGCAGGAGAGGAAGCTGAAGCTCAGAAATGGAAAGGAGCTGCCCAGGTCACACAGACAGAGGGAGGCAGGACTCACAGGGTTCTCAGTCCTCTCTACAGGGGAAACAGGTTCAGGTGATGTGTCCTCTTGCTTGACATGGCACAGCAGTGAGCAGAGGAGCCAGGAGCCCACATCCCTCAGGCTTCAAAACCAGAACTCCAATAGCAAAGTCATTGAACCAAACTGAGTGTCCATCAGCAGTTGATTTGATAGAGAAAGTGCGATACATATACACTATGGAACACCATGTAGCCATAAAAAAGAATGAAAGCATGTCTTTTGCAGCAACATGGTTGGGGCTGGAGGCCACTGTTCTAAGTGAAATAACTCAGAAACAGAAAATCAAATACTGGCCAGGCACAGTGGCGCATGCCTACAATCCCAGCACTTTGGGAGGCCGAGGCGGGTGGATCATTTGAGGTCAAAAGTTCGAGATCAACCTGGCTAACATGATGAATTCCTGTCTCTAATAAAACTACAAAAATTGCCAGGCATGGTGGCGGGCGCCTATAATCCCAGATACTCAGGAGGCTGAGGCAGGAGAATTGCTTGAGTCCAGGGAACGGAGGTTGCAGGAGCAGAGACTGTACCACTGCACTCTAGGCTGGGAGACCGAACAAGACTCCATCTCAAAAAAAAAAACACATACAAACAAAAA